ATGATGTGAAATGTTGCATATTTTCCTGAGAACTTTGCCACCAGAAGTGCATTTCTTTTTCCTCGGGCACAGCCTTCAATTTGTAAATGCGTTACTTAAAAAAAAAGCAAAAAACACCAAAAACTTATGTTGTTACTAAGCTTCTTTAAAGGAATATGAACGTGAACTTAAGCAGTGAAACAACCGGGGATAAAATATTGGCACTGAGCTGTTCATTATACACACATCATCTCATCATAACGAATAAATGAAACTATATCTTATCTGCTTCTAAATTCCTCTTCACTGAGAAAACAGAAATAAAATGTCAAGCTCTGGAGGTCACAAGAGACTTCTCCACCTGTGTACAGCATTACACTAGGTGCAGTGTCACTGAAGTCAATGCATTTGCTAATGTGAGTCCTGAATTTGGATTCAAGTCTTCAGTATTCCAGATGCCAAGAAAGAAGTCATTGAAAAGCATATGGCTCTATGCATTCATCATTTCCAATGCTGCTAGGCAGATTATTTTCAGCAGAAAAAAAACCGTGGAAGGGACCAGTCGTGCAGTAGGATTACTATGTAATGTTAATACAGAGACAGAACCGGATTGTTGGTATTTCCCTTATATCCACTACAGATACTTTTTTTTCTCATCAGACTACATAGTATATTCATCTCAAGTTTGCAACTGTTTATCCCAATCACACAACAATTTGTCCCAGGCATGCATTTTCTCCACACCATTGCTAAGACGACAAGAAGTAAGTGACAGCTAAAAAAAGATATCGGATGAGTGAATTCTTTCCCACCAATTTCTTTGCTCTAATGGGAAAGCAGCAAAAAATGATGCTGACTACTTCTGTAGCAAACATATTTGTATAAATTACATGCTGTTGACAAATGGACATGGAATCAGTATTTCTGTGGGAAAATGTGGCGTTTCCACCATGATCATATTTAACATACTGTGTTTTCTATCCATCTATCTAGACTGACTGTTTCAAAGTATGGCATAACAATTATAATAAGTGATAGTGTTACATCCAGAAAACAAAGAGTATGATGGCACAATTTATCTTGTTGCATTGCCTGATTTAATGCCAGACTGGGGTTTCTAGTCTGAACCAGATTTTCTCATGCCATAAATATTTCAGGTTTTTTTCATTTAGTCTTGATTTAGTTTGACAGTAAATAATCCCATGGAAGCTGCTGTTGGAAAGCTGTTGTAAAAATTATTAAGTACCTGCTTGCCAGTTAGGTGTTTGTGTCTGTCAGAATTTAAATAAGTAACATAGTTTTGTTTCTTAAAGAAAATAGAGTTAAAAAAAACAACAACCCTTTATTATCATGTCCAGTAACTTGTGGGTTTGAAGTGGGACGGTAATCTTTCAGTAGATATCTTTAGCTTTTATGAGTGCCAGGCTCATTGGAAAGATGTTCTTGCTATCAACAGCAGCATGAGCTTGTATCTCCATTGCAAAAAACTTGTGTGTAGCTATCATTTAAATAGGTATCATGCCACATTTCAGCAAAACAACCTAGGTCTCTGATTTCTAGAAATCGGAAGCCGTATATGTTTATTACCATAGATTAGTACTCAACTCTGTTAGTTTAAAAGTTAAAAAGTAATAACATGTAGTTGCGAAGTGGACTTAGACTTCAGCCTACAGAAGAAGAATGAGGCATTCAATCCAGAGGTATATGGCATTACAAAGTTTCCCAAAGCAAGCTTAGAGAAATTTTGCCCCTGACCTTAACTGTGGCATAACTGGGCCCTGAAGTAATTTCTAAGGACCAACTCTGTGTATTATGCAGAGCTGGAGGCAATGAGGAGCTCCATCAGATTGGGGGACTTGTGGAAGGAGGACAGAAGTTTCATCTCAGTGTCAGCATGCAGAACTGGCTGTGTTGCCTTCTCAAAAATAATTTCTACCATCTTAGTGTGCGATACATCCTCAGCGTGTGAGGAGGGAATAACTCCCACTGGAATAGTTCAGATAAGGGCCTTGTTAGACGTTAATTTGGGTACCTCCTGGAGCTCTTAACCCCTGGATTGCCAGCACATTAACTCCTTGAAGTGGCTTAAAGCACTCATTATGTGACTCAAAGTTATGTCACTCCAGGGCAAGATTATTTATTGATCCACATAACCAGGGATCCTGGTTTTTTATTAAAAAAAAGTTGCCTGGTTTTCGGTGATCCGATTTTTTTTAACCGATCCTGGTTTTCGGTTAAAAAAAGTCACCCCAAATCCATATTTTTTCCATGATTAAAATGAAACACCACTAAATATATATTAGTGGTGTTTCATCTAAATCATGGAAAAATGTGGATTTGAGGTGCCTTTTTTTTTTTCTAACTGAAAATTGGGGATTTTCTTAAATTAAAGATTTTCTTAAATCAGTGAAAACCAGGAACCCAGCTCCTGTTCCCTTACGTTGTGGCTACTCCCCACAGATGTGCTTCTCAAACTGAAGGTGTGGCTGCAAGCTAGCACTAAGCTGATCAACATCTGCGTGTGGCTCACCATGTAACATGTAACAAGGCCCTAATTAATTTTTCAGTTTGCTGATTCAGAATTACTCGAGGGAGGAGGAGCACATTGTTTCATTTTTGACCTTTATAAAATTTCTCCTTTAACGGGGGTTGAATTTCATCCTAAAACCTAGCTTCAAAGCATTTTAATTTGAAAATGGCTCACCAACCTTTGGATTTCTGTTTTTAAGACAAAACTGTTCACCAAATTCAGCATGAATATTTTTCAGTCAAGTCACAAATATATTAAATTATTTACCTGTAAACTTTCACTCCACTGGAGGACTGCCATGCTACCAAACCCTGACACAGATTATATATCCATTGTCTTCCCTCTGCTGCACGCGAGCATATACAAACACATAGACATTGCACCTCCACACACAAAATAGAGCCTAAACTTCATTATACGAAATCTACCCTAGAATTTATAGAGAAGGCTGCAAGATAAATGACTTTTATCCTCTTAAATCCATGTTAATCCTCTCTTTTCAGATCCTAAGAACTGTTAGGAAAAGAAAATTAGTGTTGGGCCTAAATGTTAGGTGAAATTGGTTGGAAGATAGGTGAAAAATGCTGAGGACAAACACTGATTTGGCAACATTTTTACGCTCGCTGTGCACAGATGCAAATGATATATAATACCATAAGCAATGGAAACTCAGGTACTTTCTGTACTGAGTTTATCTGCAATCCTTTTAGGTCAAGCTTTTAAAAATGCATTAACATTAGACTCTCAAGTCCATGTGTAGACTCCAGATGAAGAGGGCTCATTTTTCAAAGTACTGAACACCCAGTATCAAAATCCTTATCTCTTGCTTGCATAGTTATAAATCAAGAGAAGCTTTCCTGAAATATGCTGGGCTAAAATGGGGTGAGTGAGAGGAAAATTAGACCCTGAGTATGAACTATAAACCTAATTTGTCAGTGGACAATTTTCAGCACGTAAAAGATCTAGAATGGGTTTATAATTTGATAGTCCCACTTTATCAACTGCTTTCTGGTTTCAGCTTTTTTATGAGCTGATTCCAACAGTAAATTATGAGTTTGCCCTTTGGGAGTAAAGGCCAAACTGATATTTTTTTTCTTGATTTAATTCATCATACATTGGCTGATGTGTCAGAGGAAATTAGAGCAAATTGTTATGTAAACCCTGGGGGAAACATGTTTCATTTCTGAAGAATAACCCTTCACAAAAAATTGATTTTTTAGATAGTATATGATATTGCTTTTACCTTAATTGTGAGAGTTATGATTCTGCTATTGGTATAGTTCCCAGTTGTTCCCGTTGATTTGACAATGGATCACATAAAAGGTAGATCTGCTGCCTTGAATGATCCCAGGTCCTACAACCTGGTGGAGGGTTCTTTTCAAGGGTAGAAGAAACTCTAAACTTGCTCATCGTGTTTCTGAGATGTTCATACACTGACTTCAAAAGCTTCTTAAGTAATCCATCTAAAAACTGAGGGTTGAGCCTTTGAGTATGACCCAGATTGAGGGTTGGGCCTTTTGGGGGACTATATATAAAACCCTTCATTTTTACCCAAAGTTATTTCTTCTATATTTGCAATTTCCATTACACTCATAAAACCTGGGGAAAAACCAAGAAGATACACTTGGGTCTCTCTTAAAAACTTGATTGAGTTGCCAGTATAACATTTGCCAAAATAATTAGCTTAATCGTGGTTTTTAAGTAACTTTAAGCAAAGAGTAAGTATGAATGGATTGACATCAAACTGGCAGGATGTCTCAAGTGGATTTCTATAGCGTCTGTTCTGGGTCCCATGGTTGTTTTAACATATTTATTGATGACTTGGATACAGGGGAAAAGAGCTAAGTTTCAGACGAAAAAAAACTGGGAGGGGTTGCAAATAGGATTAAAATTCAAAACTGGGCTACAAGCAACAAAATGAAACTCGGCAAAGACAGGTGTGAGGTCTATTCCTCAGGAAGGAAAAAAAAAAAAATCAAATGTGCAACTAGAGAACAGGGAATAGCACTGGTTTGGCAAGAGGCCAAGTGGGACTGGGTAGGCACAGCAGATCACAAACTCAATGCAAGAAGTAGAAACGTTATGTAAGTACAAGTTGCAAGACCTACTGTAGATGAAAGGAAACGCATAAACATAAGCATGATGGTCATGCTCCGTGGCTGAGTAACGCTTTATCTTAAGCCTATATAGACCAACACCCTATTTCACCATATCACATCCTGATTATGCCTCTTGCCCTCTGGTCTCTTCTTGTTATGTCTAGGGGTGGATTGGTATTACAGCTTCCCTGATTTCTATGCCAGCTGAGGATCATCCTGATACTGGAGACGCTCCCCTCAGGCCAGTCATTCCATTTTTAGAGTCAGACTCTCCAATGATAGAACAAAAAGTGGCTGTACCATATGGGAAATATTAGTCTTGCACGTGTTTTACCTTTTTTTTTTTTTTTTTTTTTTTTAATGACCCAATATGTCTTACTGTTTTTTTACAGAACATATAAGTAGTGACTGGAAGATACATTTTATTCTCTGCTGATTGGATGGGAGGAATTTTTGACCTTGGAAAACGGAGATGATGTTGCTATGGAAACTAGTAATTCTGCTGCCATTCATGAGCTGCAACACAGGTAAAATGTTCCATTAGTACAGTTTGTGATTGATAAATATATCAGTAGCATAATTCTTTTTTAAAAAAGAGAAGTAATTATGAAAATTAATGGTTCTATTTGCATGAACAAGTGACTAACCAGCTTTTCATTAGGAAATGCTTTCCTGTTAAGTAATACACACTGCTCCCTATGAACTGCAAAATCACAAGAGTAACTTGGAGGTTAGCTTGTATCATACATTTGAAACCATAGGATTTAAAAAGAAAATGCATGAAAATTACGTATCATGGGAAGTGTGTGACAATTTTACAATTTGCAGAAGATTGTCTGTTCACTCAGATTTTCATTCAGTGTGCATCTGTAAATGTGCAAATGGTCATGCCCACTTCTGATCTTTAACGTCCATTAACCAAACAATTTGCATCTTCTTTGCAGCTCTTCGTTTGGAGGGTCTGGTTAAGGCTGTGATCCTTTTCTCACTAAAGTCATCTCCAAAATTTCCATCGACTTTGAAAGGCACAGGCTTGGGACTTAAATGCAACCTTTGCCTGACTTTTGTCTATAATTACTGTATTGAACTTTTAAAAATTGGCCTGTTAGTAATATACTTACAATGAAATTATATTAGAGGAATCTCAAATGTTGCTTAAATTAATTATATAATGCATGACTCAGCAGCAGTAGTTGAAAATAAGAATGTACAGAAGATGACACAGCCTGAAACATGAGAAAGCATTTTAAAATAAAATAAAAATTAATCCAAATTAAATTTTATCTAATAGACTTTATGTAAAAATCTAACATTTTAGAATTTCAGTAATGCTTGTGTCCATTAAAGCAGATCACTGCCTGCTTCAAAAAAATGGCTACATGTTAAGCATTTCATTATAACTGGAAGGAGTCCCTCAGTTTGGTGCAAATATAGCACATTAAAAATAATTGCAAGCTGTTGTTTATCTCTTCTTTAAGTTTTCTGTTTGTTGCACAGCTTGAGTACTCACCGATCCATTAGCCACTAGCCAGCCCTCTCTTTTTCTCTTCACAAATAACCCTCAATAGAGTCTGAATGTGCTCAAGTGGAAGAGGAAGACTCAGGACTCAAACTCAATTCTAGTAGTTCCATTTTCTGTCAAGGAACAAATTAGGCAGAAAAAAATAGTGCTATGAGCTCCTATCTCAAGTTCAACTCACACCAGATGTGTAGATCTTCCTCCTAGGATGGTCACCTCCCTTCCTTACTAGTCTTTAACTGTGCTGGTATTTAGAAACAGTGTCTATGAGATGGGGGCGGGGAGAAAGCTTTGTTCCCCTTACAACTATTGCTCCCACCACTGGAGACTTTCAGAGGCATCACTACACATCAGTGGTCACCCAGTTCCAAATCTACATCAGTTAAGACTCATTTTATCACTAGTGTAGGATGGTTCTTGTTCTGCTTGAATTATTTAAATTCCAAATATTCCTTTCCTTGCTTTTATCGGTATTTCCACAAAGTTGTCACTATTCCTCAATGAGTCAAATGTATTGTCATCTACATTTTTCTTGTAATAACATCACCCTTTAAAGGAAAACACAGTAATTTGAACAATATTGAGTGTTAAAGGACCCACAGAGTGTTGTATTATGCTGCCATACTCATTTTTCTGAAGACCTTAAAAAGATGGATGAAAGACTTAAAAACAATTGAAAATGATTGCCAGGAGATCACAGGCACAAGAGTTCTGTGTAATCTAAGTAACGACTAAATCCGATAGATAATACAAGGGTGTAGGGTATAGCCATGGTGGTCTAAGGACATAGGCAGACAAGGTTCTTTGGGTGAATCTGATATCTTTTATTTAAGTTGGTCTAATAAAAGACAGCAGGTTCACCCATACATAGATATTGCAGCACATTTGGTCTGCTTCTACTGTTGTTTAAATGTCTGGCAAGAATTTCCAGCAACTAGAACGAGAGTAGGCCAGTATGGCCGAATATTTGAATGGCAAGATTCTCAGCTGATAAAATTCAGCACAGCACCATTGATTTGAGTGGAATTCTAACAGGTTTCACCAAGTGAAGTTCTGGTCTGAAATCTTCATGGCCATGATCAGGACTTGTGATGGAAGGTATTGGAGTCACATTGGTACACAACTGAAGCAAAGGAGTGGAACACCAAAATTAATATATCCATTAGCAAGGACAGTAAGGGCACTGGACTGGGTACTGGGACACTGGATTGCTGGGTGAGTCACTTGGTATCTCAGTTTCCCTTATAAAATGGGGATACTGATACTTACCTTGCAAAGGTCTGAAGAGGAAAAGAATTACGTGAGAGTTGGGCATTATTGCAAATAACATTTTAATCCAAATATCTGAAAATTAAAAATTCCCTCTCTATATTTTCCTGAGAATCACACATCTGACACAGCAAAATAAGTGTTCCCTTTACTTTCTCCTGAAGAGGACTTTTTTGTGGTTCAACAAGACATTTGCTATTGCCGAAAGGAATAGAATAGAATAAAATAAAATAAAATGTACGAATGTGCAGTGGCAGAGTGATGGAACAGATTAGAATTTTTTTTAGAGCCCATTGCTATTTAAATGAGATACTCTGATCTAAAAGCAGCCCCACAGGCAAAAAGGATGATGAAGATGAACTCAGAGATCATTATTTTAAATTCTATATATTTGTTTTAACGATGCGTGGCAGCTGTTTCTTGCCAGTATTGTTGAAATCCAAATGTCTCTTGATATTAATGCATTAAGAATGCACATTCAATTTCTAGATTAAGAATTTAGACAGAATCTTAAAAAGCTTATTGTAATAGAAAAATGGACATTGTGTTTCTGTTTCTAGGCTTTATTCTGTATTCACAGTGTAGGAAAATTTCCAGCCACAAGAGACATAAGAAGGTCTTATAGATAAGGGTATGACCATAGGGGCAAAGTGCCAAAGTAAAAGGCGGGTAGGGCTTTACTGGGAGTCTAGTACTGCCAATGTACATCCTTTTATCCCATGATGCATGGAAGTTAAACCACAGTCTTCTTCCATTGAGGGCTAAGTTACCCTCTCTTGCTTCCATCCACCACCACAAAAAATATAAATTAACCATCCACAGTATATACATTAAAGGTCAAAGTTTGCCAACCCTGACTTTTGGGAGTGAGAATGAAATAATATTTTAAAATATGTTCTGGCTTATTGGAGGAAATTCAATAAAAGATGTAGCTGCATCCTCGTGGGATGACTTTTGGCCCATCATTTTCAAGCTGTTAAAGTGGAGAGAGAAATTTCCTGCAGTAAAATGTCCTGATACTCCTTGGGGTCACCACATGATGAATATTGAGTACATCACATCCCACATACTGCCTACAGTCTCTTGTAGATTTATTGTTAGCATAACAGCACCTTAAGGAATGGAACAGCAGACCATATATTTTAAGACAAGTGACATCTTTGCTATTTCTAGCCATAATGGGTGGGGATGAACTAGTCTAGCCTGGAAATGCTAAGGCACCTCTGAATATGAGAAGACATTTGGAGGTTTGCTGATGAGCCAGAGAATGATAAAAATCAGGTTTCTGACAGAGGAAATGGAAGTTCACAGGACTTTGGGAAATGCTGACCTTGAGAGTTGCTTTTCTGAAAATGACTTCCAAAATGGATTGGCTACTGATGAGATGAGGGGGCCAAGGCAGACCCTACGAGCGAAGGCTACAGGACCTGAACCTCTTCAGCCTCCACAAGAGAAGGCTGAGAGGGGATCTGGTGGCTGTCTACAAACTGGCCAAGGGGGACCAGCAGGCAATGGGAGATTCCCTGTTCCCCCGAGCGCTACCAGGAGTAATGAGGAATAACGGCCATAAATTGACTGAGAGTAGATTCAGGCTAGATATCAGAGAGACACTACTTTACAGATCGCGTGGCTAGGATCTGGAACCAACTTCCAAGGGAAATAGTGCTCGTTCCTCCCCTGGGGGTCTTCAAAAGGAGGCTAGATAATCATCTAGCCCGGGTCCTTTGACCCCAGCACTCTTTCCTGCCCATGGCAGAGGGTCTGACTTGATGATCAGGTCCCTTCTGACCCTACCTACTATGAACTATGAGACATCCTTTTCTGGGACAGCTGGGAAGATTATTTAAATGAGAATTTTTTCTCCACTTCTGATGCATCCTAAAATTCAGCTCTTTTCCTCACATTTGAAGAAGACTATATTTGCAAAGAGACAACCTGAAGTTGATGTAGACTTTAAAGAGGAGTCACCTGACCCCACCAGAGATGGCCAGAACCCCAAGCACCTTGAAAACAACTACATCAAGGTTTGAGCTTTCCCAAGGTACTGAAGGAATCACTGTGCTCGTGTCTAGGAATGGATGGGTGACCACTGGCACAGGTACTCTGGTCTGATGTTAATGGGTTTTCCCAAGGGTGATTTCAGACAGTTGGGTTTTTAAGAAGCAGCAAAACTAGTCTTAAAAACACACAGAGAAAGATCCATACAGGCCATGTTTATTTTCACTGGCTGTTTAGTGGCATTCATATGGAACGTGGCCCACAGTCCTAATTTTAATGCCATTTCACTTTATCTGTCTTTTTCCACCAGAACCATAGTGCGCTACTACTCTGAGGGAGTGTCTGAGCATGCACGTGCAATCGTTCACCAAAATTTAATACTGGGAACTCCTGGTATTCAAAAAAAAGCTGAAAAATAAACAAACAAACCAACAAACAAATGAATAAATAAATACAAAAACAAAACAAAACAGTGCAGTGTACACTCCAGGAGCATGCAACAGAGAAACTGGAGGCTGGCCAAAGCATCTCCACTTCTTTAGGTGTTCTAGCATGGCAGGACCTGGGAGAAGTGGGGAAACAACAGTTCCCCTGCAGGGGTACATTTTGCCCCACAGTGAACCCCACACACAAGGGCGTGCACAGAAGCAAAAAGCAGCAACACATACTTATGCCACTGGTATTTGGGGCTCAGCAAATGCATGGGGGAAGTGCCCTGTGGCTGTGTTCACATGAGCACGG